CGCAAGGGTAACCACCAGCTCTCGGGATACCCCCATTAGTCGCGAGTAAAAAGCACCCTACCTTCTACCAAAGGTCTTGTGCCTGAGGTACAATGTAGTGTTATATTTGTAAAAGGTCATGCCTAAGGTGATGCCTTGTGATCTCCCCTAGGAGAAGGCAACAACATAAGGTCGCCCGAAGAAAGGTATCTCCTCGCCCTTAAGTCTTCTTTGCCCATGGTGGAAAAAATATGGGATAAGACGTGTCTCAAATTAAAAGAAAGTCAAAGTCGTTACTGACCTACGTCACCCTTGAAAATAAGGATTCAATTATACACCATTTGACTAAGTGGACGGTGGTATTTTCTGAGGAAACCCTAGGTCCTAAAGATCCTTATAAATACATTATCCCTCAAGGGGAACGTCATACTCTAAATTATACACTCTCTCCACTACTCAAAGAGCATCACACTCGTTACCATCGTTACACACATAACTAACCTAACCACCCTTTTGTAACCTATCAGTGCCGACCACCAACAGGGTCTCTCACCTCATGTGAATGGGTCCCTTAAACAATCTCAAAAACCACCGCAGATCTTCTCGCCGCCGTGAGCAAGTCATCACTACCCAAATGTGTTATATACATACAAAGACCTCTGAATCTCCCTACCCTTATAGAGAAAATATGCACACCTTGTACTTTTTTTACCAATACACTAAGAATATATATATATATATATATATATATATATATATATATATATATATATATATATATATATATATATATATATATATATATATATATATATATATATATATATATATATATATATATATATATATATATATATATATATATAAAATGAAATATAACCCGAACAATCTCAATTTCATCTATTAAATCTTATTTTCGTTTAAGTGTTACTTTAAATTAGTTATCAAACAAATACAATTTTCAACCATTTTGTTTAAAATTATAGAAATTATTGAACAATTTTTTAATATTGCATCAATCCATGTGGAGACAATACAAAAAAATACTAAAGTTTATTCTTCTAACATTTAGAACTCACAATCACCAAAAAAAGAAAGAGAATCACATCACAACCAACATGCATAAAGATCAAACAAACAAAAGGAATAACACATGAAATAAAAGTTTAAATAATGTCAATAGATACAATACAGAAATAGAATGAATAAATAAGTTAAAATTAAAAGATGGAGAGATGAAAGAAAAAAGGAGAAACATTGAGATGTTCACAACACTAACGAATAAATTTTCGAGAAGAATAAGAATAATGAAGATTCCAACTAGATTCTCATAAGGATACTTTGCAGGGGAAGAAAAATCATAACTTAGATAGTCATAACAATATCAAACACAAGCAAGATGGGAAGAAAAACAATAGTGATAAGAAGAAAAATAAAATCTACTAAGGAGTTGCGATGATTGATTCATAATAATAATGCAAAAAAAAAAAAACACATTCAAATATTCTTTGAAAAATGATTAAAAAATAAGCTTAATACATGTTTTAGTCTCTTAACTTAATTTAATATTCCGATTTAGTCCCTTAACTAAAAAGCGTTACAAGTACGTTCCCCAATTTTACTTCAGTTACTCTATTTGGTCTGTTCTGTCAATTTTTGGCAAAAAACGTTAAGTTTTGGTGATGTGACCATCTAGCTGTATATTTTAACCTGACATGGAATGTTATATATATATATATATATATATATATATATATATATATATATATATATATATATATATATATATATATATATATATATATATATATATATATATATATATATATATATATATATATATATATATATATATATATATATATATATATATATATATATATATATATATATATATATATATATATATATAAGGATAAGATAATGAAATATAACTCGAATAATCTCAATTTCATCTATTAAATATTTTTTTCATTCAAGTGTTACTTTAAATTAGTTATCAAACAAATAAAATTTTCAACCATTTTGTTTAAAATTATAGAAATTATTGAACAATTTTTGAATATTGCATCAATCCATGTGGAGACGATACAAACAAATACAAAATTTTGTCCTTCTAACACTTAGATAGGCCGACCCAACACATATTGAGGCTTTTTATATTATTAATAATAAAAATTAAAAAAAAATACTTTATTTAAAATTTTACCTTTCGAACTTTTTGAGATGTAAAATTATTTATTAAACTTTTATAATCAATTTCGTTCAACATTTCTTTTTCAATTGATAATAAAGACAATTCATTTAATCTTTGTTGAGACATTGTAGATCTTAAATATGATTTTATTAACTTTAATTTTAAAAAACTTTTTTCGATAGACGCAACTTTAAGGCAGGTCCAACTCTTGTTGAGGCCTGGGACGACATTACAAAATGAGATCTTTAAAAAAATAATTAAAATAAAAGAATTATATTTTTATTAAATACTTTTTTATTCTCATTAAATTTTTTTATGTAAATATTATAAATGATTTAGTTTAATATTTTATTTCAATTTTAAAAAAAAAGTTATTTTATCTTAATTTCCAATTTCTAAGTTATATTATTTTAACATAAAAAAAAACAATAATGAATATTTTTTGAGAAACACAAACTATAAAAATTTAAAACAATAAAAAATTATTTTCAAGCTATTAAATTATATGATATTATATTAAATGTGTGTTCCAAAAAAGCATAACAAATAATAATTTATTTTTGAACTTAACTACTTACTAAAAATCAAGATAAATATGTAGTAGATTGAAATTTACATCACTATTAATGATAAAAAAAAATTAATTTGATGTGTTCCATATTCTCTCTCTAACATTAAATACAAATTGCAAAAGAAATAACCAAAGTCATGTGCACAGAAATTATAACCGTGTAGATCTATATTCATGTTATAAAGAGACCTTTGCATCAAAAAGGAAATTTGGAGGCCCAAGGCAAATGCCTACTTTACCTACCTGTTGGGCCGGACCTGCACTTAGAACTCACAATCACAAAAAAAAAAAGGAAGAGAATCACATCACAACCAACATGCATAGAGATCAAAGAAACAAAAGGAATAACACTTGAAATAAAAGTTTAAACAATGTCGATAAATATAATACAGAAGTAAAATGAAGAAATAAGTTAAAATTAAAAGATGAAGAGATGAAAGAAAAAAATGAGAAACGTTGAGATGTTCACAACACTAACGAATACATTTATGAGAAGAATAAGAATAATGAAGATTCCAACTAGATCCTCATAAGGATACTTTGCAGGGGAAGAAAAACCATAACTTAGATAGTCATAACAATATCAAACACAAGCAAGAAGGGAAGAGAAACAATAGTGAGAAGAAGAAAGATAAAGTCTACTAAGGAGTTGCGATGATTGATTCATAGTAATAATGCCAAAAAAAACACATTCAAATATTCTTTGAAAAATGATTAAAAAATAGGCTTAATACATGTTTTAGTCTCACTTTAGTCCCTTAACTAAAAAGCGTTACAAGTAAGTCCCTCAATTTCACTTCAGTTACTCTATTTGGTCTGTTCTGACAGTTTTTGTCAAAAAAATATTAAGTTTTAGTGATGTGAGCATCTAACTGTATATTTTAATCTGACATGGAATGTTATTGTAAATGTATTCATTAGGTTTCAACTCATTCTGTTCAACTCATCCACAATCTTCAAAACCTTGTATAGCTCTCCAATTTTACAATATCCACTAAGAACAACACCATAACTTACAACATCAGGAAAAATCATTCTATGTTCCATGTATACGAACAGGTTATATGCTTCTTTCACCTTACTCAATTGACAGAGACAATGAAGAACAATGTTATACGAAATAATATTCCAACAAACACCCAATAAAGGAAATTCTTCAAACACCTTGATTGCAATCTTAACCCCCTCAAAATTGCAAGACATTCTAGACAACAAATTACAAGAATCTAGGGACATAGTGACTTTGTACCATAACAACTTATGAAAAAGCTTCTTAGCTTCTAAAACAATCATAATTTCAACTAACACTTGAAAGAACACATAAAAATGGAGGGTGTGAACCCCAATCTTTATAAGTATAAATCAACCTATCAATAAAAAGATCAAAGGGTTTCAAAACATCCAATGGCAACATAGCCCATAACTAAAAAATAAATCTTTTAGCAATTTGGATGTTGTTTGAAGCAACAACTATGTGAACAACGATGCAAAGTGATTTCAAAGTAGGGTTGAAATTGTTCTTGCAAACAGGATTTTACCTAGTTGAAAAGGTTTAAGACGAGTTGGTAATCATTTTTGATGTTGACGAGAACCCAAATGAGATGACTTGGTTTGAAACGAGATTCGTAAGGTTTAAGAATCCGACATAAGGGTTTGAGACGACGACATTTGATGGTTGTCGTGACATGGCGGACGAGATTGGTGTCTGTGACGGGAGGGTTTTGTGGGGAGTAGTCGGCAAATAGAATGAGATATTGTTAATAACAAAAAAATATCATGGCAGATAAAAATATTCAACTAAATGACCCATCACCTTAACTTAATATATTTTTTTAAATTTGACCGAAGAAATCAAATATAATAAGAAAAGTGAAATTAAAGATTTAATTTATAACATATTTTTAGGTAAAATATTAAAACGAATCATTAAATTAAGTTACTGAACTTCGAAATTAAATGTCCCTTAAAAAAAATAATAATGGAAAAACAAGGGGCATGTGATCATGGGTAGATTAAGAATTTCTCTTAAATAGCGTGGGTGCCACGTTAGCAGAGGCTGTAGAGCCCTTTTACGTGATTATCCCACCACAATCAATCGTTTTCATCCTACAAAGGAACGACCCCACTCTCTGACAGACTCACTCAACCCTCGCCGTTCGCTCGCCGGCCTTCAAGGTAACCACCACCGCCACCACCACCACATTTTATCTTTTCTTTCCTTGCCCTAACTCCTTTACTCTTTCGTTTTGCAGGATGAACAAGAGACCTAGAGACACCACCGTCTACAAGCCCCTTCACGATCTCTCCAATCGAGAACTCGGCGAGTTACCCGCCAGAGTTTTCCCTAACCGTCTCGCCGCCTCCGAGGTACCCCACATTTACTTTCTTTTCTTCTCCGGCACATTCAAATTCACAATCGGACATTTTCGTATTGTTTTAGGTTTATTACTTTTGATAGTAAAATGAAATTATTAGGGTTTCAAGACATCAACATATGAATGTGTCTCTGTGGTGATTGATTGATTTATTGATGTTATAATGTGTTTAGGATCTTGTCCTCCGACTTGATGTATTCAGAAAGCTTGACAAGCACAGAGGTTGTGTAAACACTGTAGGCTTCAATGCCGATGGTGATGTTCTGGTTTCAGGTTCTGATGACAGGAGGATTATTCTCTGGGATTGGGAAACCGGTCGTACTAAGCTCTCTTTCCATTCTGGTCATAGTAACAATGTTTTCCAGGCTAAGTTCATGCCTCACTCCGCAGATCGAACTATTGTCACTTGTGCTGCTGATGGCCAGGTATGTCGCATGGATCATTCTTATGTAATGGAAAAAGTTTTATATAACCCTTGCGGTCATGTAAAGGCTTTCGCAATTTCAGTCGGTACAGGTGTTACGCTGATTACGTTTTACTCATAGTGAATTGATCACAATTTGTTCTTTAAGATAAAAACGGTGAATAGCTGTGAATACCGTTTTCTAGCGGTATCTGACCGTTTTGGATATGTCATGCATAAATGTTCTTAGGCTATTTTACTAAAAGAAGGAAGTGTGTTTTGTTATGTGAATTCTCCATTTTAGGTGAGGCATGCTCAAATTCTTGAACAAGGACAGGTGGAAACTAAGTTATTGGCCAAGCATCAAGGACGGGCTCATAAGTTGGCTATCGAGCCTGGTAGCCCTCATATATTTTACACCTGCGGTGAAGATGGATTAGTACAGCATGTGAGTGATTAATTTTTTTCCTATGAATATCGTTTTGTACGTTATCTTTTAGTCCTCTCTCACGAGCTAGATATTTTAACAGTTTGATCTGAGAACCGGGACTGCAACAAAACTTTTTACTTGCAAGCCACTTAAGGATAAATTGTGTTACGTGTCAGTCATCCTTCTTAATACCATTGCAATTGATCCAAGGAACCCAAACCTATTTGCGGTTGCTGGGTCTGATGCGTATACGCGACTTTTTGATATCCGCAAATATAAATGGGATGCATCAACTGATTTTGGTCAACCAATTGACTACTTTTGCCCTCCGCACTTGATTGGTGATGAGCGGGTAGGAATAACGGGCCTGGCCTTTTCTGAACAAAGGGAGCTTCTTGTATCCTACAATGATGAATTAATTTACCTTTTTACACAAGATATGGGTTTGGGACTGGATCCTATTCCTGGGTCCCCTAACTCTGTGAATAGTGATACAAGTGACATGGGAGATTGTTCTGTGCATTCTCCACCGAACATGGATGCTAATGATAAAGTCACCCCTCAAGTTTTTAAGGGACACAGGAATTGTGAGACAGTTAAGGGTGTCAGTTTCTTTGGGCCTAACTGTGAGTATGTGGTGAGTGGATCAGACTGTGGTCGGATTTTCACATGGAAGAAAAAAGGTGGTCAGCTTATTCGTGTCATGGAAGCAGACAAGCACGTTGTGAACTGTATTGAGTCTCATCCTCATACAACAGTTCTTGCAAGCAGCGGTATTGAGCATGACATCAAGATATGGACTCCAAAGGCCCTTGAGAAAGCTACTTTGCCCAAAAGTATTGAGCAGGTACGAATTTAGTCTTCTTGAGCTAGGTATTACGTTTCCGAACTGAACCAAATTATCTTATGCGAGTGATGCTTTTTATGTTTTAGAAGATCTAGTTTATTTACGAAACTCTAACTGGGACAGTTTTCATGAAATCTTCATTTAAAAAAATAAAACTAACCCAGATAAATAATTTCTCTGCTGTTACTTCTTTGAATAAGGTTATATTTGATGGGATTCGTTGGTTTGAGAGTGATGACGATGATGATAGTGACGATGACACTGAGGATGACGATATGTTTGATGATGATGATGATGATGATGATGAGAAGGAGGAGGAGGATGATAATGACGACGACGACGACGACGATGACGATGATGATGGTGATGTTGATGATGATATGTTTGACGATAATGATGATATGGTTGACGATAATGATGATATGTTTGATGATGGTGATGATGATGATGATGATGAGGATGATGATGGTGGTGGTGGTGGTGATGATGACGACGACGGTGCTCATGATATTGATGAAAATAATGACGATGAAGGTTGTGATGATATTGATGAATATGACAGAAGGAGGTTATGTCAATGATTGTAATGATGATGAGAACAATGGTGTTGCTGATGATAATAATGATGACAATGGCAACGATGATAATTTTTCTGGTGGTTTGTAATGATGCAAATTGATAAAAGTTTTGTGTGTGACAGAAAACCAAGGCTAGAGACTGGATGTACCAGATAGCTTCTCCGGAAGACATGATGTTGCAACTGTTTTCACTTCCAAGACGAAGGGTTAGGACGGAAACCAGTGCAGAGCAGTCAACTCGAGAATTTTTAGAAATGATATTGACATTCAATACTATTACTGACGATTCCACCGATGATGATGGTGATGACGATGGAGATGCAAGCAACCAAGATGACTTGTTCAGTTGAGTTGTGCTTGTTGAACTTGGGCCGTCCAAAAGAATGATGGCAATTGTATATAAAATAGGTTTAAGAATAACTGCTGACTGGAATCTTGCATACTGTTTTAACAGAATTCCGTATATAACCGCTCTTAAACTTTTTTTTGTGGTCATTTGTTAGTTAAGAACCTGCGTGTTCTTAACTGTTTATGCGATGTAAATTATCCCTCTTCTATGTGTTTGTTTTTAAGGCTTTAATCCTTTGGGTGTTCCCAAGATTGATTGTGACCAAAGCTCCTCTCACATGCTTTGGTTAAAGTCAATTTTGACCACCTAAGTACACAATTCTGCTTCTTGTACAAAGAAGCATCGGTATTTGGTAGTCAACTGAAGATCGAGTCATTACTCATTTGAAAGGCAAAGAAATGTTTCACCTGTTTGCTTATTTTTGTTTTGATAAAGTAGCATTTCATTTTCACCTCCTTAAACTCAACTTAAAATTAAACTTTATGAAACGCTTTTTGTGATTTTTCTAAAATTCATTAAGAAAGTGGGGTGACTATGCGTTAGGGTTTTGAAGGATACTAAAGTTGGAATTGATTGGTTTATGTGGCTGTGTAACGTAGGAAAATACTATATATAGGGAAAATACTATATATATATATATATATATATATATATATATATATATATATATATATATATATATATATATATATATATATATATATATATATATATATATATATATATATATATATATATATATATATATATATATATATATATATATATATATATATATATATATATATATATATATATATATATATATATATATGTATGTATGTATGTATGTATGTATGTATGTATGTATGTATGTATGTATGTATGTATGTATGTATGTATGTATGTATGTATGTATGTATGTATGTGTGTATGTGTGTATGTGTGTCTGTGTGTGTGTGTGTGTGTGTGTGTGTGTGTGTGTGTGTGTGTGTGTGTGTGTGTGTGTGTGTGTGTGTGTGTGTGTGTGTGTGTGTGTGTGTGTGTGTGTGTGTGTGTGTGTGTGTGTGTGTGTGTGTGTGTGTGTGTGTGTGTGTGTGTGTGTGTGTGTGTGTGTGTGTGTGTGTGTGTGTGTGTGTGTGTGTGTGTGTGTGTGTGTGTGTGTGTGTGTGTGTGTGTGTGTGTGTGTGTGTGTGTGTGTGTGTGTGTGTGTGTGTGTGTGTGTGTGTGTGTGTGTGTGTGTGTGTGTGTGTGTGTGTGTGTGTGTGTGTGTGTGTGTGTGTGTGTGTGTGTGTGTGTGTGTGTGTGTGTGTGTGTGTGTGTGTGTGTGTGTGTGTGTGTGTGTGTGTGTGTGTGTGTGTGTGTGTGTGTGTGTGTGTGTGTGTGTGTGTGTGTGTGTGTGTGTGTGTGTGTGTGTGTGTGTGTGTGTGTGTGTGTGTGTGTGTGTGTGTGTGTGTGTGTGTGTGTGTGTGTGTGTGTGTGTGTGTGTGTGTGTGTGTGTGTGTGTGTGTGTGTGTGTGTGTGTGTGTGTGTGTGTGTGTGTGTGTGTGTGTGTGTGTGTGTGTGTGTGTGTGTGTGTGTGTGTGTGTGTGTGTGTGTGTGTGTGTGTGTGTGTGTGTGTGTGTGTGTGTGTGTGTGTGTGTGTGTGTGTGTGTGTGTGTGTGTGTGTGTGTGTGTGTGTGTGTGTGTGTGTGTGTGTGTGTGTGTGTGTGTGTGTGTGTGTGTGTGTGTGTGTGTGTGTGTGTGTGTGTGTGTGTGTGTGTGTGTGTGTGTGTGTGTGTGTGTGTGTGTGTGTGTGTGTGTGTGTGTGTGTGTGTGTGTGTGTGTGTGTGTGTGTGTGTGTGTGTGTGTGTGTGTGTGTGTGTGTGTGTGTGTGTGTGTGTGTGTGTGTGTGTGTGTGTGTGTGTGTGTGTGTGTGTGTGTGTGTGTGTGTGTGTGTGTGTGTGTGTGTGTGTGTGTGTGTGTGTGTGTGTGTGTGTGTGTGTGTGTGTGTGTGTGTGTGTGTGTGTGTGTGTGTGTGTGTGTGTGTGTGTGTGTGTGTGATCTCAACAGCAACAAATCGAACCCGAGATCTTCCCTTCAATATCACTGAATCCGCTACTAGACTGTTGAAGAACACCTCTTCACAATCACCTTCGCTCAGTTGACCCTTGATGAAGAATCTCGTCCAAAAACCCCCAAAATTCAAACCAATATTGGAGGGTAAAACCCTAACGGTTTTATTCAAGAAAGAACCTGCCACAAGCTTCAACCCGAACTAGATTACCCAATCTAAGCTTCGAACCTTATCACCTTTAATCACTCATAATGCACTTCAAAAATGGTTGTGTGTAATTGATGTGTTGTGAGATGTTGAAGATGAAGATGATGAATCTTGGACACCTATTTCACTCTTTCTTATTCTTGAACACATGAATCAATTTTTTCAAATGTTAATGTGACATAAGTGGATAAACAAGTATATATAGTACCAACCCAATTAAAGACATAACAATATTTCAAATAGTAGAGGGAATCATTTAAAAACAGGATTTCCGCGCGAACGGTCGACCGCAGCAGGTCTGTGCGTCAACGCATGGCCTGTGTTTTTGGAAATCTGGAAAATGTATCAGTATGCGTCGACCATACAGTCGGCGTGCGCTGACCCGTTGAAAAATATTTCCTTCATGCGCCGAACCTATGGTCGACTCATGCCTTTATGCGCTGACCCGTTGGAAAATATTTCCTTCATGTGCCGACCCTATGGTCGACTCATTGCCTTCATGCGCTGACCAGTGGAAAAATGCTCTGATGCATGCGTCGACCCTATGATCGACTCATGCCCTGCAAACCTGCAAAAATTAATCTTTTTGTGGTTTTTCATGCCTCTGGTCATGATTGCATTTTATCTACACATAGTATATTTATTACAACAGTTTTAAGACAAGTATAAAAGGATATGGTAGGTGATACGTCGCATCTGTTTAGTAGATCTGGAGTTTGTAATTTCCAATCCATCTAAGGTTTTAATTTGTCATCATCGAAACCTGTATTGAACAATGTCTTGCAGACTTGTGTGATGTGTGGCGATTTGCCTCCACATTCTCCCCCTTTTTGATGATGACAACCTGTATACAACCAAAACAACCTGTATACAACCAAAACAACCAATATGCAATGTATACACAAGCTCCCCCTTTCTTTTGTAATATAAGGCTGCAGAACAGACAACCATCAACTGTTGTTAACCATCAACTGTTGTGAACATCCTGACTTGGCTTTGGTGCTTGCTACATGTTCTTCTCCCCCTTTGATAACATCAAAAAGAGAAGGAGAACGCATCAATTAACAGAAAACATACAATAGGTGATAGTTAATTACCAAACTTCACACATAAGAGTGATAATGAACAAAAGTAACTGGAATTAATAGATAATTAAGAAAACATGCAAATAGGTGAATATTCATGCAAACATAAAATGTAGGAACGTAAAGTACACACAACAAAAAAAATGCAGCTATGTAACTAATATCCCCGACCCCGACCTCGGCCCCTCCCCCGGTATGCAATATCTGGGTTGCGGTGAGGATCCGAGAAGTCCACAAACGCTTCTACGGACATGTTGAGGTGATGGAGACAGTCAGTGATTTCCATGTCTTGCCTTTCATGTGATGCCACAAGAGCTTCAAAGCGGGCGTCCATCCGAGTTGAAAATGAGTTTAACCTTTCATTTTGAGTACGAAGCTCAGCTCTGATCTGTTCCATTTGCGTATCTTGACTCCTCATGAAGGTCTGTTGATCTAACTACATGGACTGCAGCATATTAATGACTTCAGAGTTGTCCGATGGTGGAGGAGGTGATGAGTGCTGGGAAGGTTAATAGTTTTGAGGGTAGCCGTGATATGGATCGTAGAATCTACCCAGGGTGGTCCAACCTGTGTATTGCCATTCACCCCATCCCTGATTTGTGTAACCTTCTTCTTGTTCTTCAGATGGAGCTGAATGCTGGAGCCAATAGGTATTTGGAAACTCATGTTGAACTGGAGATTGATGATAGTCTTACATCTCACATACAGGTTCTTGTACCTCTGCAGTTGTATTTTCTTCATCATCATCCTATTCACCTTGTTCTTCACTTTCCTCTTCAGAGCTGTCATCGGAACTGTCATGAGTCACCCGAGGAATATTTGCTCGACGGACAAACCTGTATGATCTTCGTTCATCACACCAAAAATACCCCATCATGGCAAGGGTTTTGGTGCTAAATTCTTTGTCAGAGGGGACTGAAACACAAGGAAATGTTGGGTATACAACATTTGCTGCGGCAAGAATTTCTGAAATAAACGACCCATAGGCTAGAGCAGTGCCTCTACCTGAGTCTCTCAGAGCAAAAATCCTGCTTGCAATATAGTATGACCAGTTTATTTTGATCTTATGTTTCAATATATAGATGAGATGTACCTTAGCTTGTTCGACACGGGACATGCCACCTTTTTTCGGTCGCAGGATGCGAGCGACAATCCACTGAAGGATGCGCTCCCCTGTTAGGAGTTTCCCTGCTGTGACCGTTCTAGGAAAGGCATCACTGTTGACAATGGCATCTGGATAGGGTCTTTTTAGCATGTTATTCAGAGCACTCTTAAACTCATATCCCGACACCGTACGAGAGTTCGTTACCTCATGAAGAGGTGGTGC